GTTTTGCTAATGGGGCCAGGCAGTGGGATATGCTTTGGCCGGCTACCTGGGGCCGGGCAGTGGTAGTCTGACTTAGGACAGCAGCGGTAGCTGCTTTTGGCAGCGTGGTAGTTGCCAAGCAATGGTAGCGTTTAAATATGCTACCGTAGGGGCCGGACAGCGGTAGCAGTCTCAGGCCAGCAGCGCTAGCTGCGAATCGCCGTTGGCCACGCTAGTGGCCATGGCAACGGTAGCATTTTGGTATACACAACTCGCAGCTTAGTAGCCCACTAGTACCTGCACACCCTCGGCCATTTAACCCAATCTCATCTTGTGTTTTTATTATAGGCACGGGCATCCACGGCTCGGTGGCCCGTGCCTCTCCTTGGCATATCGCGGGATAAGTACTATAATCGGAAACATATTTACATGTCATATATGCACCCGGATGCTCAAAATCACAATACAATGCTAATATCCAATATTTGTGTTCCAGCGAGTGAATACCAAATAGACAAGGACAAAACCAGCTCTACAGACACAGACTCTCTCAAAGGCAACAAGGTGCAGGCTATATAATTTGGATATTACTTATTCTGGTAAGGAATTGGCAACATCAGCAAATAGAGCTCTTGGTGTTCTTATCTGTAAATTTAAATTAGCGGGTGGTATGTAATTTTCAGTTTTGATAAACTGTATGATAATCTTGTTCAGCCTATATATACTTTCGGATGGTTCGGCAATCAGGGGCCTCAAGCAATTCAGCTGTATTAATTCTGTTCAAAACAGAGCTGCTCGTTTCTTGCTTGCGGTTATTAACAAAACTCCAAATCTATCAGTCCATGGCGAATTAGGATGGACAAGCCCACTTACAAAACAGCATATTGAAATATTTCGTTTTTGGCGGCGAATTCAAGCGGTCGATCCAAATGGACTTCTTTGTTGGATTAGAAAATGGTCTACAAAATTCCGTAAACCCTGGGTAAACAATGTTTTGGATTTGCTTAATAGTTTAGATTTAACTGTCTCTGACTGTTTGCATTTAACCCAATGTGTGTGTGTGTGTGTGTGTGTGTGTGTGTGTGTATGTGTGTGTGTGTGTGGTGACTAAGGCTAATCCCTTACTTCCAGATATGTATTGACATGTCTCACCAACAACTCACCAGGGATCAATCCTTGTTTAAACGCAAAGAGATACAGAATGCTGCAGGTTAACTATACTAATCAACTAATAGTAATTGAGGGTTAAATGCCATTGTTTACTTAGTGCTTACGTGGTTGGGTGCTTAAATAGTGACACATAAATAAACTATTCTTCTTCTTTTTGTTCATTTTCAAGATGCTTTGTATAACTTCCTAAACTGCTAACATATGTAATTTCTGAATTCTGTTGGAACGATAATTTAATGTCTAATTTAGAAAACATTATATAAATTATCTTCCCTCACGCAGAAAAACAAGCATGGAATTTTCCGTTCGTTTTCGATAATTGGGTTTGCATTAAAGAGGCGATTAATAAAATACGAAACGAGCCTATGTGTAATACCATGTTTTACGAACCTTGCGAAACCAAACAGTTGATACCAAACTGTTCACTCGTTTCCTAGAAATGGTACGGCACGGGGGATCATTTAGCGATACTGTTGTTCTCTCATCTATTTTAATCATACACAATATATATCTTGAAGCTGCCAATGAAAGCATGAACTCAAATACTGTACAAGAGTTCAATTTGTATGAGTAAAAATATGAAGTTATCATTGTTTAACTTCAAATACTACGATGTGCCCACTAATACCGTCATTATGTTGACGGCCTGATTGTTAACAACCATGAGTTGCGATATGTTATATGATTGCTTTGGTACTTTCATTGGTACTGGATTCTTCTTTGCACAATAACCAGAGTATTATTTGTTTTAAATGTAAGCAAGTTTTGTGCCTTGTGGAATTGTAGATGAAGAAACACAATAAATACAATTCGCATTTTTATAAAGTAAAGCAAAATATCAATTAAATCTGAATACGTCAATCTGTAAATTTCTTGTTCTCAAAAGTACAGGTATTAGTATTCATGTTCCACATGTTCATAATTTGGATTTGTAACATCTTTTGTTATTTTCTTGCATCGGTTGTACAATACATTTACAGTCGTAGTTTGTTGACTGAGCCCCCAGAAATATTTTAAACATTGCATTTTTAGCAATTTCGTGCCGTTTGGACAATATTCATACCAACAAATGTAATAAGTCAGTGGCAAAAGTAAAGTCAAATAAACAAAGATGGCGGATGCAGTAAAATTTCGAAATTAAATCAGTACTTTAAAAAAAATTGGGAATAGCTTCAGTGCACCCGCCAGGTCTGCGAGCAATACTGCTACAAACGTGCAATGTCTTACCCTTTCCCATGTTAAAGCATATTGAGAAAAGCTTACCTTGTACTTACTTACCTTTTGTAAAACATAAAACATTAATACAACATATATCCCCGTGTAATGAGTTTTCGGACGCTGAATAAACATTAATAGTTTTTTTACATGAACAACTGTAAAACATCTCATTCATTTATAAAAGACAACGTTATAATAAAAACAAGCCATGATCGGAGTATTTACAATTTCTGTGTGATGCCACACCCCTCGTTATAGTGCAAGTATTCGTGATAGAAAACGTATGATGTCCGGAAACTTAAGATCAGACAATAATAGTATTGTGTTATGAATAATAATAAAGGTATGTTTGGTGCTGAAAGCTCTTACCAGAAACAGGACAATCCGCGACGGTTTTTCGGAGTACTTTTAAATCTTTGATTATATTTTTACGCGTAGGATGATTTTTCCGAGGACTACTGTTTTAAAAAACGCGATTTACCGCGGAGATTTTACATTATAACAATGTTTACCGTACAATTAAACCGTACAAACCAAATTCAAATCTTTTAAGTAATAATGATATAGCTTTCATCGGTGTCTAGCCGGGAGGGCCACATTTCAGAAATGGCTATTGCCGGTAGAGCCACATTTTCAGCTGAGTGCATTTCACCTATTCTAGCGGGTAATTAATTAATCCGATTACCGATACCTTTATATGAGTGTCCCACATTTAAATTACTAAGTGTGGTGTTCTTTACTACAGACAAGAACATTGTATCATGTATCTGCAGGAGGGTGCAGAAAGAAGGTCTGGTGATGGACTATAAGGAAGATGAGGAGGTGAAGAAGCTAACAAAGTGAATGATGTGTGACTTGATGCCATTGCTGACTCTCCTGTTTTGACAGCATAGCCGCGAGAGCCACATTATACAATCATGCAACCATAACCATTGCCGCGAGAGCCACATCAATTTGGGCTATCTATTTTCGAAATGTGGCTTTGCCGGCCTGTAACCCTTTCATCCTCTGTGCAATCCACTCAGTTGGCTAATCTGCTATGCGCACGAGAGCATGTTACACATCACTTTGCGGCATCGCGTACAAACCAATCTGAGCTCCGCACAAATCGATTTCAACTCTTTCAAGTGATTAATAATAAATCATGCAATGCAATCACCCCCGACTGAAAATGAGAACCTATAGATTATTTAAAACAGCTATTTATACAGAGCCTTATGCCCTCCTTCCCCGTTATAAAAAGGTTGGTTTTATCATCTTTAAGATGCGGTTCAATGAAGCTCGAGATTGAATTGGGACGTTATTCTAATCCTCCTGTGCCAGTTAACCAACGTTTTTGTAAATATTGCCCTGGATGTGTAGAAGATGAAACTCACTTTCTTCTCCACTGCTCACTTTATGATGATATTCGTGTTGTTTTACTATGCATTATGTATGGTCTCTTATAACCCACATCGTGGGTGGCAGAGATACTTTATAGTGTACCTTTATAATAATGTATATGCATACAACCTGTATCTCCGATGAGACAAAAATAAACAATTTGTCACTTGTCACTTGTCACTGTCACTGTTAATCCGCTCTGTGCACTTGACCATAAAGTCTACACACATACTTGTGCTGTTTTTCCCAGTGTATCTAATATACTACACACAGGAATAAGAGACATGTAATATGGTATGATATTTGTGTTTTGTTTTATTTGTTCCAAATATATTTTATTGTCGAAGGAGACAAAGGGATGGGGCACAAGTGTCATACTTATTGCCACTTCCGCGCTACATACAATATATAGCTATAGCGTGGAAGTGGCAATAAGTATATATATATATATATATATATATATATATATATATATATACACACACACACACACACACATATATATATATATATATACACGCACACACACGCACGCACGCGCACACACACACACATACGGTGCTTCACTCATCACAGAAATCGTTTGTCTCTTTTCCTCATTTGCTTGTAAATATTGTGTTGGAATAAGGATGAATATTTTCCACTGTCTGGGAAATGTCGCCTGAAGATACTTGGATACTGAAATAGCATATATTGAGTACATGAGGGGACTGCTACGTCATGCATTTCAAGAACTAATATCCTGAGAACTAAATCCAACAATATAGCTTATCTCATTCACAAACAATCTTTGCACACTGTAGCCATTGAAGCTGGGGTCCCAGGCAGTGTAATGTGCAGTAATTCAAGACTGTGAGTTCAGCTTGTTTCATAACCTGAGCCTTATCACCATCTCATTAGTAAACTAATATGATCTCTGTTTTTAAGTAGTAGTTAGCACCTCCTCTCCCCAAAAATCACATACAAACGTCGATCAAATTGATAGCGCGTATTTTTGTGCTTAAGTCACTTGGACATTGTTTAGCTTCATAAACTGTTCATAAGAAACATGTCCGACAGCTTTGACATCATTGATGACTTAGTCTTATGAGATGATGTAAACATTAGGGGAAATGAGCTCAAGTAAATACAGAAACAGATGGTCTAAAATTGCCACAGTGTTAGGCCCGAAAGTCTATTTAGGATTTAATTGTGATTAAGGAAGTAGAGGGTAGAGAGAGAACAAGATAACAAATCTTAACAAAACCTACCTGTCAAAAAAGTGCTAGTTCTATCCGTAATCCGTCACAAACTGTTAAGATATTGAAGCAACATGGCCGCCCATAGTTTCAAGGAAATGTCCTGGCTACACTTCATGGTTTCGTGCTCAACAAATATATATGAATAAATTAGTTCAACCTTGGCAGTCAACTAGGTCAGGTAATCATGGCTATGAATGCTCATGTGTGTCAGGTTTCCCTAACCTCGCCGTCACATCTGTACACAAAACAAGTGCATAGTCTAAACTAGGCTACATATGCATTTCTTCAGCCGTTTACAGATGCCTCGACAACATTTTTCACACATGAATGAGTTCAACCTTGGCAGTCAACTAGTACAGGTAAACATGGCTATTAATGCTCAAGTGTGTCAGGTTGCCCCAACCTCGCCGTCGTATCTGTACACAAAACAAGTGCATAGTCTAAACTAGGCTACATATGCATTTCTTCAGCCGTTTCAATAATGCAGTGCGCTGATACAGCATGCTGCGTAGGTCTGTACAACACAATGTATTTTATTAGTAATTGGTCGATCCTTCATTAATCATATTTTTGCCATTCATTTCACATATACCTCGGTAGAACTGAGGTAGGGGAAGGAGTTCTGGTCAGTTGACAAGGTATTCAGATATTCAGAAACTCGTTAATCCGGACAACATTTTAGAAAAAGCAATTGTCCGGATAAGCGAGGTTCGACTGTATAGCGCGTGATACATGACAAAACAGATGTGTTAGGAAATGATTCGCACTTGCTGAAGGGATACCAATGGACCCTGATCATAATACATTGGTTGCTTATGATTATTATTATTATTAAATATATTGTATTGTCCAAAAAGACAAAGGGATTGGGCACAAGTGCAGCACTTATTACCACCTTCTCCCTTTATACAGTTATACATAATATTGCATAATGAAAATGAACAATTTACAGTTGAAGCATAACATTGTGGAAACATAGGGCGCAATATAAATTTATATACAGTGCTCATATGAAGGACATGTACAATGTGCTGGAAAGTGCATCTCATACATATGCTAATATTATACATGTACATGTTAGTGTTGTATATAGATTTAACAATATTATAAAATGATTAACAGTTTGGAAACAATAATATGCTAGCTACTTAATCTGTCAGTCGTTTCTATAAATTTGTGTACAGACAAGAATATATTTGTATTCAGGAAAACATCTAAGTTTGGATCACCAAAAAGAATACTATGTAGAGATTTTTGTCCTCCAAGATTATCGATAGCTGTCAGTAATGTCATCCCTAATATCATCATATAAGGTACATTCGAAGAAGAAATGGAATGAATTCTCACAAGGAGCTCCGTTTTTACAGGAAATATTATCAGATAAACTAACACGACACAGTTTGGAATTTAGTGTGCTACAATTGTGTCTCAATCTAGTGTGCAATATGTTTGTAGATCTCTCACCGCAATTATAGTGCATAGGTGGTGATGTAGGCTGCTCAAATGCGACAGCTTTAAAATAAGATATTGACGGACTATCCCTGATTCCTGTTGATAGATTATTCCATTGGCCTAATGTATCTATACTATAAGACCTTTTAAACGCAAATTTCCGTGCAAATGGACTGACCTTCTGTGACACAGCTGGTGGTATAAGAACAGTTACATATGAAGGACATTGCTTGTTTATTATTTTATACATAGTTACAAGTTTGTTGACGTTTCTTCTACACGCTTATATATATATATATATATATATATATATATATATATATATATATATATATATATATATCCACGTCACACACACCTGGAACAAGTACACTTATTTGAATATTACTAATATTAAATGAATGTTACTGAGCAGTCAATTGGAGTTTATATATGTGCGCTTAATCAGCAACATTAAGCCTTTCAGTATATTACAACTTTGTAAGTTAACTTTCCTTTCCAGAAATACCATAGAATGGTGACAGTCATGAACTTCTACCCCAAGAGATGTGTCATTGAATACAATCTGCTTTGTTAATTTGATTTCAAGTGATAGCCTTCACCTGGAAGGAATTTATATTTGTATTATTTCAATTTTTCTTTTCATAAATATCACTCTGAATTTTGGGTTTTGAAATAGCATGTCGCAGAAATAACTCCTGTTGGACCCTTAGACTTGCAAGAAAACTCTAATCATTGGCCGAAACATGTCCCCTTTGTGCTTCTTGCTTTGTCAGACCAAACCCATACTGCTGAATTTCTCAAAAGCTTTAAAAGGGTTAAAGCTATTTTTGGAAGTATAAATGGGTTGATTGGTGACTACCACAGAAGTAGCAAATTGAGTTATGTCCGATGAAATTCTCAGTCTGACTTGTGCCAAACGTTTCCGTGTTTTCCGGGTTTAACAACTAACTTGCCTTTGCATGTGTTTGCATATGAGCCTTGGTGGCAAAGGTATCAACATATGTGAGAACAAATAAACGTGAACCCAATATTTCAATTGTTGGAAAAAAGGAGGAAAACAGTACAGCCACGGTCTAATAACCGTACCGCTTCCCTCTCGCTTAATTGTCTGGCTTCCGTCACCATCCGGCAAAGTCCGGTGGTCGTCGTTGTCCAGTGTCTTTACATTCATTGTTAGAGAATTGGTGACCCGTAAATTTGGTGTCCTCTCATCTGTCAGACATCCCACTTGTTAGACACTTTTAGTAATGGTTGATTCATTACTAATACCATGCCTGTTACCTACGGTTTAAGTGGACTCAGCCCTTTCTTCACCAATTTGTCGGCCAGTAGGGAAAGAACACCACAAACTGTTACTCATATGTTTATTTACAGCACTAACAATTTAAATGACATGAGTCATATCAACAAAATTAATTCAATGTCAGCACTAAAACACGCATATCAAGTATGCAAGGTATTGATTTGATATATTTATCTCATACATGTTTGCTACCTTGAGGAAGCGTATTAGGGCCACGGTCTAAGAAAATGTATCATCTACGTAGACGAAAGTAACATCGACGTCGCGATCGATGGAACTATAATCTACGTAGATGATGCTTGGCTGACTTTTATATGCCAATTAGAGTAGGCTGGTGGCAATGTATCCTACATAATAAAATTATATGCCTTTATGTGGTTTAAAAGACATCGGTGACGAATACCAATATTTGTGTTTTTGTGTTCTACATCTAATAAAACAAGACGTAGATTGTTGACTCATGTCTTCATTAACCAAAGTTCTGTTCTGTTAGAGCGCCTCACCTCTAATTGACGTATTTATCATATATAATGGCTGCATTATTTAGTAAATATAATATTTAAATTCGTGTTTGGTTTGTTGTGAATGAGAATGTCTGGCAAATGATTCTCATGTAACAGTTCTCTTAACTGACCAAACAACAATGGGATTATCCTCTTCTCCATGTACTGGGATAGAATATGCTCCGTTTCTTTTGTAACGCAAATGTAGTAAAGATGTCATCTGCTTCAGTGTAACAAGTAATCGTTTTGTCTGTTTGCAAATACGGAAGATGTGCAGTTCTATGCACTTACCAAGGGTACAAATCTACGTTTGTACATAACTTCATAAAATATTGATGCATGAACTTTTCCGTTGGAATTAAACTAACTGAACAGAATAAGCTGTGGATAAAATGATGTTCATGAAATCACCTTCATATAATTACTAAACATTTGTTATGTGTTCATGTAGTCTATGACACAGTATCATAAACGATCATATAGTTCATATAATTTAAGTATCTTAACAGACAACTCGCAATTGGGAAATAAGGTACGGCGATACTAATGGCAAATCTTGCCCGATCCGTCTTGTCCATGTGGAGACTCATTTGAAGATACTAAACTTTTTATGCTCGAATGTATATTATTTCCAATTTTTAGAACTGATGCTTACTTTAATCATGATTTTACAATTGGTGACATTCTTTAATGTATATATGACACATTTAGGATTTCCTATGTTAGTTATCTTATATTTATAAACACCAGGAGATTTGTGATTAAATAATTCTTCATTACATTTAAATTATTTTTGATACTAATATCTAAATCATTTTGATACTAATATAGCAACAAAAGCATTCTGGTTTCGATATGAAAAGAATAATACATGTACCTTATATTACCATACGATAATACAATAACACGTTGTCATAGATCCATATCTGACTCCAAGACACGTATTATTGATATATCATGTTCTTTTATTACGGGCTTCGAATTTCCCCCACGCCACTGCTTTGAGGCCAAACAAACTAAGCTGTAATACGAGGCTGTAATCTATCCCAGTAAGCAGATGGGCCTTGTGATGACATTGTCTCAATTTAAGTAATGATAAATAAGACAATTTCATTATTGGACAGAGACAAGAGAACTATTTTTAAAATATTTACGTCATGGGGGCTCCTCAATTTTGAAAGGATAAAGGATGAAACATTTCATTTTGTTCTGAGGTAGTTTATGAATTAATTGTAACTGTGAATTGTACGGTAGGCTTGACCGCCTTTCTACGGATAAAATACATGTCTATCTGATACAAATATGCATCAATATAAAAGGAATTATATCAAATTTTAGCAAACTAACACTTCTCTGCAATGTGATTGTAGTCGTCTATGGGAATTTCGGGTGAACGACCTGTGCTCACTTAACATATGGATATAGTTAAATTTGCAATCGGGATCTGCCAAAGGTGCTGTGCTATGTTCAAATTTTGGTGTGTATGTGCGCGCGTGTATGTGTGTTTGTTTGTCTGTGTGAGTTTACAAGAACCTTGTAAGTTTTAAAAAGGAACAGGAGATTGAATAACTCTAAAAAAACACTGGGATATAATAATGATCTGTTGAGTTCATGCTGTGATACAAATCCACTGTAACAACTTTCATAAACACCGATAGCACAGATGCTGACATGGATTACTCTTCCTATATTTGGCTAAAATGTTTTTTGGGCCTTATGACAATATCTGTGATGTTAATTATCTTGGAAACAAAATCCAGTAAAATACCTCTTGTTCCTGCCTGACTGATTATTTATATTTCAGCGTCCTACATTCATAACTACAACATAGACTTAAAACCTAAACAATATCTGTGGTATTATATCAAATGTGCTTCAGTTTAACTTTATGCACACATATATAACTTGACGATTTTTCATAAGTTGACATGTATCACGGTGACATGCAGTTCATACCGAAATAATCTTCCAGGTATGATTTTGTTTCTTAAATGCGTGTTACACGAATATGTAGTGGTAGAAACATCTGCACACAAGTTGCACGTCAAGGTCTTTGCAGCGGGTGTTATTCTTTAACCAAGGACTGTTTCCTTGTGTATGGTCTTCATTGTTAACACATGAGATCTATCTATTGTGGCCCGATTACCCGAAGCTTGTAATTTATAGTGACGTAGTCGTCTTACTTCATAGGACAAACATATTTAAACAGAATGTTAACAGCAAAATGAGATAAAATAGCGCTCCAAATATTCTGGTCAGACTGATCATGAGGTCAGTAAGTCCACAGCAAAACTATTCCTTCCACCACATGTCTCTCATTGCCTTGACGG